ACCTCCTACCATGCTATTCTCTCCTCTCATTTTAAACTTGCTGCCTTTTCATTTCAGTTCTCCCTGTTTTGTAGATTCTGACTGTTGAGGGAAGTTAGTAGCGGAGACATTTATTTTTTAAAAAGGTGTTCTGTTCCATGTTTGGCATACTCAGACTCTCATTTACTGATTTAAAAGGAATAAGGTGGAAACATGTTTGGAGTTTTTTTAAAAATTCCCCATAATTGCACTTATGTTTTATATTCTGAAAATATGCATGGGTAATTCAGGAGAAATGAGAGATTATGGGATAAATTCAGGAGAAAAAAGTACTCCATAAATAGATTTGCCAATTTACAACCAAATAGAATAAAATTTTAAAGTAAAAAAAATAAGGATCCTGCTTTTAGAAAATACTTATCATTACTATTATTTACTCCTTTGGGGGGGAGATTCTCAAGAAGTCACTTAGAGACAATGTTCTCTTCCCCCCAAGTTCCAGTATGATGCATTTAATTCCTCATAGAAAACTATACAGCAGTTTTTTTCAAGCTTAACTGAAAAGAGTTTTTATGAATTCCTAGAGATTTCATAATTCCATCACCCTACATTTTGTGACTTGTAGGGTAATTTATGGAAGGCCCCCTGGAATTCTCTATATCTTAAGACTGCTCTCTGGGGTAGTGTTATGTGAATTTATATAGCTATGCTTCTTATCAAAGGAGGAATACCTAAGAACGAGTATTTCTGACAGTGGAGGTCAAGGAATGGCAGAAAGATAGAGACTGACGGATTCTTCTCCCAGACTTGAAATTAATGACAGTTATAATAATTTCCTTGGAATTTAAATTTGGACCTCAGAAGTTATATATGAACATATGACCATGGAGTGGGTTTTCCCCTTTGCTACCCTGTGTTGGGTTTCAGAGGCTGTAAATCTGTCTACGGGGAAGCCTGGCCATCTTTCCCTTACAAAGCAGCTGGTGGATTGGAGTCACCAAACGTAAAGATAGCAATGCAAACCACCACCAGCACTCCTCCGAGTCGGAATCCTTGCCTCTGGCTAGTGTATCTCTCTCTTTTCTTTTTCTGACCTGGATGATGACATCATGGACGGGGCCATGGTGTGCTCTTTTGTAATCTAGACTTTGGCTCAGATTGGTACCTTGTGTTAAGTATTTCAGTGTTTGTTCGTGGTGCTGATTGCTGAAATATTATGCTTTGAAGTATTTAGCACTTGTTGCTGCATTTTCTTTACTACTCAATAACTAGTTCTTATCCCTGTTTCTTGGTGACGTTGATTTTCTTCTCCTCTTCTCTACCATGTGCTCAGCTAGAGAAGAGGTTCTCCACAACATGATACCTCTTGATTATTCTAGGTCAATCATAGCATTGAGGTTCAGATTTCCAGAGAATCCATGATACATGGGTTTGGGAAGCAGGTCTACCTAGAGAGAGACATTGAGGGAAGGTCACTGTCTGGTGGGTTTTATATGGAGGGAGGGAGATCCTTACTTTTAAAAGGGAGTATACTGGGGGGGGGGTATGTCCTTTTATTCTTTGGATGTTTTCTGAGTTTCATACCTGCAGCTTGACTAGCAACCTTAAAACCATGAAGGAAGCCTGCTTAAAAGGAAGATCAACCTAGTAGACTTTGAGAACATTGGGGATATGGGACAAGCATGCACTTGTGAACCATTAGAGTAACCTGAGCAAGGGGACACTTTCAGTTCTGCTCAGTCTACCAGTATGTTTCAACAGAATGTAAAAAAAAAAAAAAAATTCATTACTTCTAGACTTTGGTAGTTTTTCTTTATCTTCCAAATCTCAAATGATCCCCAGTCCAGGTGTACCAGACTTTTGGTGCTCAGTGCTTCCCCTTCTCAGTTCCTTATTACAGTCTGCAGGTATGTATTTGTGGGAGCCTCTCTACCGTCTGGCTTCACTAGATAATAGACAAAACAAGCAGATTTGCATCTTTATTCCCCGCCAGTGTACAGTGCTTTTGCTTAGCATTTGCATAGCAGTTAGTGGGTTCACAGATGCTGTGGGTTTGTTTTTTTTTCCATTTTATTTTATTTTATTAATTTTAATGAATATTTACAGAGATTTTGGATTTCTATTCATTCATTGTTGCACTTTTCTTTCTGTCCAGCCCTCCTCCACCCCCAGTTCACTCCTCTCTTTGAAAAGTAAAGAAAAATTCTTTCATTGGTAATTCTCTGTCTTAGCCCAACCCTGATGCCAGTCCCATTCTACAACAGTGGCACCATGCAGTATTCGTCCTTTTGTGACGGAGATATTTCACTCAGCATAATGTCCTCCAGGGTCACCCATTTTGTATAATATTTCATTAGTTCCTTGTTTTTCAATGCAGCATAGTATTCCATTGTGTGAATATACCACAGCTTCTCTATCCATTTGTTTGTTGATGGGTCCCTGGGTTGTTTCCAACCCCTTGCTATTGTGAACAAAGCCGTGATAAACATGAGTGTGCATGTATCTGCTTGGATGTCGATTATGGTCTCTTACGGGTATATTCCCAGTAGTGGAATTGCTGGGTCAAATGGTATCTCTGTTTGCAACTTTTTGAGAAAGGGCCACACCACTTTGCACAGTGCTTGCACCATTTTACACTTCCACCAGTAGTGAATAAGGGTTCCAGTTTCTCCACAACCTCGCCAGCATTTGGTGTTTGCTGTTTTGTTAAATTTTGCTATTCTGACTGGGGTGAGATATCTTATAGTTGTTTTGATTTGCATCTCTCTTAGAGCTAGGGATTTTGAACATTTTTCCCTTGTGCTTATTGGCCATTTGAATGTCTGTTTTAAATGAATGAAGTACATTTCACTTTGCAAGATGGCCATGTATCAGGTTGAAAAGAATAATTTTTTACACATTGAAACCATCAGTCTGGGATAAAGGTAGAATAGACTGACAGGGCGTGGTCTCTGATTCCTGCAGAATGGTACATTGGATGACAACGGGCCATACATACAGAGCTGGTGGCTGGTCACGTACCTACTATAATAACTGTAATAACTGTATGAATGATTTCTTGTTTTGCCCTGGGAATAGAAAAAAAGCCCAGCTGGAAATGATTGGATAGCTTGTTCAAACTACTTTGGACTAAGAAAGAAACGTAGAGCTTTAATATATTCCCTCCCCCTTTGTTGTGAATCATCGAATTAGATCCAACTGGCACAGGAGCAAATTGCCTCTCCTTCTCAAGCAGAGTATCCAGTGCATTCTAACCACTTACCTTCAGAATTACTGTGCAGGTTCTTGCCACTAGTCCACCAGATCTCCCTTGAGCTTTAACTTTTTAAAATCTGTTTGTTTCAAACTTTTTCAGATTGTTATGTTTTACGGAGGCAACTCATGGTTGCTGTGATACTAAACACTGTGACACTGATGTGCCAAATGCGATATTGGTCAACCATGGTGGACAGTGTTTGGTAGCGCTCCCTAATTAAAACAAGCTTGGAAGCAGGAGTAGCATCCACTTCCGAAATAGCTTGCCTCCAGAAACTCTTATAAATTTTAGAGAAATGATGATAGTTATTTTGTTCATAGGCTTGCTATGGGTCATCTACAACTTGATTGTTGTTGTCAACAAAAACAAAAACAAAAACAATGTGTGTCCTATCTCAGAGCCTAGGAACTTTTTAAAAAATAAAATTTTTATTTTGTACTGGTTTATTTTTCAAGTTCATATACATTGTTTGTTCACACCAGTTCTTTCTCCTTTCTCTCACCCACCTCTCCCTCCACCCATCAAATTGTATGAGCCTGTGATTAGCCCCCCCACTGCCACCCCTTCCACCTTGCCCATCCTCAACCCTCTTCACCCACCCTTGGATCTTCATACACATTCTACAATAATGGTCTTATACAATATTTGTCCTTATGAGACAGAGTTAGTTCACTTAGCATAATGTCCTTCAGTCCCTCCCAAATTAGGTAGTGATTTACAAAATCATTGTCTTGGATACTGCACAGTATTCTATTGTGTGAATACACCATAATTTCTCCATCGATTGGATTGTGCTTGGACATTTGGGCTGTTTCCATGATTTTGTGATGATGAATAACTCTGCTATGAACAGTAGTGTACAAGTCTCTGTTTAAGCCTCGGTTCTCATTTTCTCAGAGTGTATTCCAAGCAGTGGAAGAGATAGGTCATACGGAACTTCTGTGTTCAGCTTTCTGAGAAAATGCCAAACCACCTTCCAGAGTGATTTCCCCACTTTACAGTCCCACCAACAGTGAGTGTATAAGAGTTCCTATCTCATCACATTCTCTCCAGCATTTATTGCTTGCTGTCCTGTTAAACTTTGCCACTGCCCCTGGAGTGAGATGGTACCTCATTGTGCGTTTTATTTACGTCTCTCTTATTGCCAGTGATTTTGATCATTTCTTCATGTGTCTGTTGGCCATTTGAATACCTTCATCTGTGAAAGTTCTTTCTGTATCTTTTGTCCATTTTAAAATTGGGTTGTCCTCTTCTTGTGAAGGCCCAGGAATATTTCTGTGAACTTTCTTTTATAACCGTATCGTTTAGTTAGTTACTTAGTTTCCACGTGGGTGGTTTTGTAAGCTTTTTACCCTCTCATGGTTAATATCTAGTTTTGTGGCATTGTGATCTGAGAAAATATTTTGTATTGTATGAACCTAGTAACTTTTTAGCCAATAGGATTTCAGAATGCAGGTCCTTAATTCAAGCTCTTGGATTGGCTCAGCTCCTTCTGAGGTCACAATTTCCCCACATTAAAAAGTCATAATGTTTTCTGAACCCACATTGTACTCATCATAACACTTGTAGTTTTGTTTCATTATAAGAAAGACAAACTACCCAAAATAAAACTGCCGGATGGAGCAAGATACCATTGATCCACGCAGACCTGTTCTGTTCCTACACTTAAGCTGTCTACTGTCAACAACCAAAGTCAGCATTTTTCCTTCCTTTTATAGTTGCTGCCGCTTTGTTTCTCCCACATATCAGTTAACAGTCTGATGGAGAAATGAGCCTTCTTAGAGTTACTCCTTCAGCGCGGAGTTCCGCTGCATCTCGACTCCTAAGGCTTGGCATCTTTCTGCTCCTCAGCCTTCCAGACTCAAAGGGAAAAGCCATTTGGACGGCCCACCTGAATATCACATTCCAGGTGGGAAACCGGATCATATCAGAACTGGGAGAGAGTGGCGTGTTCGGGAACCATTCTCCTCTGGAGAGGGTGGCAGGTGCGGTGGGCTTCCCCGAAGGATGGAATCAGAATGCTTGTAATCCACTGACCAATTTCAGCAGGCCCGAGCAGGCTGAGTCCTGGCTGGCCCTCATTGAGCGTGGCGGCTGCACCTTCACCCACAAAATCAATGTGGCAGCAGAGAAGGGAGCAAATGGGGTGATCATCTATAACTATCCAGGTACGGGCAACAAAGTGTTCCCCATGTCTCACCAGGGGACAGACAATATAGTCGCCGTGATGATAGGCAACTTGAAGGGCATGGAACTCTTGCACCTGATTCAGAAAGGTGTGTACGTGACGATCATAATTGAGGTGGGGCGGATGCACATGCCGTGGCTGAGCCACTATGTCATGTCGCTCTTCACCTTCCTGGCGGCCACCTTTGTCTACCTCTTCCTGTACTGCGCCTGGAGACCCAGGGCGCCCAGCTCGTCCAGTCGCAGGAGAAGACAGATCAAAGCGGAGGTGAAGAGAGCGATTGGTCAGCTGCCCGTGCGAGTGATCAGAGAGGGTGATAAGGAGCTCGATCCAGACAAAGACAATTGCGTGATTTGCTTTGATGTCTACAAACCCCAGGACACGGTGCGTATTTTAAACTGCAAGCACTTCTTCCACAAGGCCTGCATTGACCCCTGGCTTTTAGCCCATAAGACATGCCCCATGTGCAAGTGCGACATTCTGAAGACCTAGGAAGCCCAGGGAGTCTTCCTCTGATGTAACCGTGTTGCCACAAAGATTAAATTCAGGGGAAGTGTCTCCTAGTACTTTATGCAGAGCGAAAATTCACCTTCACCTTCTCTACCCAAGAACTACAGAGAGTGAAATGTGTGTGTGTTTTCAAAATAAAACTCCATATCATGCCCAACTACAGGACTTGTTATATCTCTGACTAGTTTCAATTATTCAGCATCTTTGCCCTTGTACAACTAAGAACATTAGAATATGTTAAAAGTAAAATTAGCCTATAGATTCAAATTAGAAATTTTGTGACATTGATGACATGATTAGCCATATTAGTTAAGTTTTTTGAAAAAAAAAAAGAAAAATGCTAATACTTCGACTTTGCTTCCTCATGCTGGTTAAGTTTGGTATCTAATAATTTATGATTCAGTGACTGGGATAATTGGGATGGGAGTGTCAGAGACAGTGCGATTGGCACAGGACAGAGCGGAGTTTAGGGCTGTTGTACACAGGGTCGCTATGAGTCGCAAGTGACTCTACAGCACATAACAACAACAACAACAACAACAAACCATACACTTCAATTTCGGATCAGATCTTGGTTTAAATCTCTTGGTTTAATTAAAACCCCCAAATTATTAGGAAATCTGGAAGCTGCCAACTGAGCGGATAGGTACTATGTTCTACACAGTTGTTTTAGCTACTGTCTGAGTGATTTGGATAAGGCATGGTCTCCTCTTGTAGCTGGAGAATAGAGCCAGGAGAGAGGGAGAGGGCGTTTATGCAGCAGAGTTTAACAGGAAAATGAAGATAAGTCAGGGATTTGAATGGAAAGCTAAAGAGTTTATTAATCCCAGTGTGTCTTTAGAAAGGAAAATAATGCTTGGAAAGGTGAAGGGCCAGAGAAAGAAAGGAAGACCCCCAACGAGATGGACTGACGTCATGACTGCAGCAGTGGGCTCAAATAGGACAGAATTCAGGTCTGCTGTTCATAGGGTTGCTATCATTCATGCTTGACTCAGTAGAACATCACAGCAACAGTGTGATCACCCCCTGGAAATGGATGTGATCTTGTGGAATGTTAGGATCCTAATCTTTGTAGGACTTGAGTAAATATATGTAATCTAGGGAAGTGAGATACTTGTGTTAGTGAATATGGAGAGAAGTAGAGAAGATGGACAGGGAGGTTTGGGTACCAGAGGACCTAATAGGGGTTGTGGATCTCATCAAGGATATTTCCATGATGATCATAACTACCATGGCACTGGGGAGAGTGATTTTTTTTTTAGTAATATAATGAGAAAAAGAGCACTTTTCCCATTTTTCTGCATGTGTGCTTCCTTGGAGATTGCCGCTCAGTTACAGACTTTGTGCCTATGGTGACTGCCTTGGCCTAATGATCACTCTTGGCCAGTGATAGGAAACTCTTACCAGCTGTTGCTTACCTCCCTGTTCCTGTGAGATAGTCATACTTCTGGCTTAACCATTCATAGCATTACTGCAGCCTCATTTAAGTCGCGCTAGCTCTGATAACAAAGTCCATAGTGAGTTAGTTGCCTTGCTAACCGAAGTCTGTGCCTCTCTCTGCTGGTTCGAATCTCTCACCTACTCTGCAGGAAGAAGATGGACAGTATTCTCCTGGGTGATTCTCTTCCTCTGAAAACCTGCTGGAGGGTCAGTTTTGAGTAGAGTCTGACTAGACAGTGCACAACAACAAAAAAGGATGCTCTTCCCCAGATTATCAAATACCCTGGTTGAAGATCTTCCTTCAGGCATCATCAGCTTTGCCTCCACATTCAAGGCTCAGGTGTCAATAGCTCAGGGTGAAGTTAGAGCCAGACAATGATGTGCTGACAGACCTGAGTTCCCACTGACCCTGGGGCTACCATACATATTCCTAGGGGTAAAGTTCAGAGATTATTTTCCACCAGCTAGGAAAACAAAGGCAAGTATATTGATCTTGAATCAGTATCTCTGGTCTCTTACACACAGGTACTAAGAGCTTCTTTTATCTCATATGGATACAGCTTATGAAATGTCAGTCAAGATATTTAGGGCTAAAACATGATTTAGGAGAAGAAAGGAAGGGAGCAATGGGACACATTAGCTGGAAACAAAAGAACACAGAAAAGGAAAAAAAAATTCTTCAGTCCACAATGGCTGCTTCTTTTTCAAAATGTCTTATTAATGTGAGTTCTTTTCAATAAAAGTACCTCTAAAATAAAGTAAAATATACAATATATGTGAGGGAGCCCACAGAGTGTCATTGTAAAGGAGTGATCTAGCATATGTTAATAAATCGAGATGTTATTCAAACAACAAAACACAAGCCTTCCAGCTTCTCCGCGGTCTTGTGCTTAGGTGCCTTCAAGTCGAGTATGACTCATGGGAAGTGCTTAGGTCCACCTAAGAACAACATGCTAAACATATATGAAAAGAAGCTTCATCCTTGCCTCCACCGAGCACTCTGGCTGCACTTTCTCCAAGACATAATCTGTTTGTTCTTTTGGCAGTCATAGGATATTGAGCACTTTTTTCCAACACCGGAGGATGAAGGTGTGACTGAATCAGACTTTAGTCTTTTCAGTCACTTGTTATGCATCTGAGAGCTACACAATGAATAAGAGTGACGGCATAGTCGATGCTCCTCGTGTGGAAGAAGCAGTGGTAACATCGCAAAGATTGAGTCTGACTTCTATCTGCTTCATAAAGAGTAACTATCCCATCAGTAATATTCATAGCACCAAAATAGCTACAAGGTCAGGCATGCCACCCTCCATGCTTCCGTACCCTTTTCTACCAATCATTGGGGCCAATATTTTTTGCCACACTCACAGACTTGACTAAAAGTTGTGGGGTTTTTGTTGTTGTTGTTGTTGTTTTTTAATAGGTTGGAGAGTATGGGAGGCAAAGAATATCATATAGTGCAAGTCCAAGTTTAGTTTAGAAATCACAAGCTATATTAACAAGGCACAGTTCCTCAAGTAGTTAAAGGCAGCTTCTCAGTCAACCAGGGAGAGTCTAAGTTCAGTTTAACAGCACATATGCAAGAGGCCTCTCAGTTATCCCACAGACTCAGAGCAATTGTAAGTCAGCTTTTCCTTCAATCACCCAGCAAGAAAAACCTTAAAATGTAGTTTTTATCTCTAGGGTTCCTGTGGTTACACATTGCCACAGTGTCTTTACAGCAGTGCCACGTTCTCCTCACACTCTCTCCACCATGGTTGTTCACTCTCACAATGTGGAAAGCACTCTCTTATTTTGGTCCCACTGCTGTTAATGACTTGCAGAACCACATAACTACAATTAAGGTAGCTGGATGGAGGTCATGCCTCCCCACCTCAACGATGACTAACACAATGGCTAGAAAAGCCAATTTTCAAGGGTCTAACACCACATAATGGTACACAGAGAACAGGGGGAAAAGGCAAAACATACATTTTGAAAAAGCAGCTGAACAAAATGTAAGCTCTGCTCTTTTATTTTTATGAAAATGCCCCCATTAGGTGCATTTTGTAGAAGATACTATCATACTATACATAAAAAGAAAAGAGAAGCTCACTGTAGACAGTCTAAGAAGGGAAATGTGTTGACACAGCTGAATGACCAGGCAAGTGTTGGTGTTTTGTGTTGTTTTTTTTTTTAATTTTTAATTTAATTTTTAAATTTTTAAATTTTCTGTTTGGTTTAGAATATTTTCTCTACTTACAGTGAAGAAACCTAATTAAATGACTGTCTACACATAAGTGACTGTCTTTTCCTATGCCTCAAAAATTTGAGCCTTGAATAAAGACAATATAAGAAGAATTGATACCTCTGAGGTTGTGGTATTGGAAGAGAGTACTGAATAGAACTTGGACTTTAAAGAACACTAACAGGTCTGTCTTGGAGGAAGTACTCAGAGGATCCTCTTTAGAGACAAGAATGGTGAAACTTCATCTCGTACACGTGGGGCATGTTGTCAGGAGGACCCAGCCCTTGGCAAAGGACATAATGCTGGAAAAGGTGGAAGGACAGAGAATGAGAGGAAGACCTCCAACAAGATGCATCGGCAGGGACTGTAACGATGGGCTTGATCATGACTATGGGGCAGCATAGATCAAGATTCAGATCTGTTGTTTATAGAGTCAGTATGAGTTATCATGGACTTGATGGAACCTAACAACAACTTAACATTTACTTTCATATTTAAAAAGTATATGGTGTATGAAGTTTCTATTTAGAAACGAATTTTAATTTCTAATTTCATGTGATACCTGCTGACATTCTATGTAGCTCGGTAACTGGATTCTTTTTACAACCATATAGGAATCACTCCTGACAACTTTCCAAGCATCCAAGCTAATAACTTCACAGCATCCTCTGAACTCTTCTCTGATTGGCTGTGTTGTCTGCAACATCATAATCACGTCATTCAACAATGGACTGGGGATAGAGGGACAGCAGTGAGAGTGTAAGGTTTGTTTTTTTTAATTCAATCTAAAGTGTTTCTTTTACTGGCTCTAATAAAACATGCAAAACCCATAAGATATCTGGAAGAACTCTGCAGGAATAAAAACATACAAACAAGCAAAACCCCTCAAAACATGCTGGAGGACAGCAGAACTTGCTTTCACGCAGAAGATTTGGCTTGCTTTATCAGTTGTAATTGACTGTCGACAGATGTGGAAGCCGCCTTCTCCTGGTGGGTTGGTTCTCAGGCTGCAAGGTGGTGAGAGAGATGAGTGTCTTCGTGGTCAGCACAGAGGCGCACCGCCCCACGTACTCCTGGCTGGTGAACTTGAGTATTCTGTGGCTCCTGAGCCAGAACTGCTCTAGGGCCAGTGCGGTTTGGACAGCTTACATGAACATCTCCTTCCATATTGGGAACCGCATGTTGTCAGAGTTGGGGGAGACCGGAGTCTTTGGGCGAAGCTCTGCTCTGAAGCGAGTGGCTGGAGTGGTCGTGCCACCAGATGGGAGATCCCAAAATGCCTGCAGTGTCAATACCACCTTCCAGGGTTCCAAAGGCACGGAGACCTGGCTGGCCCTTATTGAGCGGGGAGGTTGCACGTTCACCCAGAAAATCAAGGTGGCCATCAAGCAAGGGGCCAGTGGTGCCATCATCTATAACTTCCGTGGGACTGGCAATCAGGTGTTCCCCATGGCTCACCAGACCTTTGACGACTTTGTGACAGTGATGATTGGCAATTTAAAAGGCACCGGGATCCTCCATTTGATTCAGAAGGGCATTCACATCACAGCCGTGGTTGAGGTGGGGAAGAAGCACATCGTCTGGGTGAATCACTATTTTGTCTCTATTGTCATTCTCACCACTGCCACCTTAGCCTACTTCGTGTTTTATCACATCCGACAGTTCTGGGCAGCAAGGATGGAGAACCGGAGATGGAAGCAGTTAACACGAGATGTCACAAAGGCCTTTGGGCAGCTGCAGCTCCGAGTGTTGAAAGAGGAAGATAAGGAAATATCGCTGAATGCAGAGAGTTGTGTGGTTTGCTTCGAACCTTACAAGGCTGATGATACAATCCGTGTTCTGACCTGTAAGCACATTTTCCATAAGAACTGCATTGACCCTTGGATTCTGTCCCATGGGACATGCCCCATGTGCAAATGTGACATCCTTAAAGCTCTGGGTGTTCACATAGATGTGGAAGAGGGAGCCGAGTCCTTGCATGTGTTAATGCAGAATTCACTGCCCGGAAACCTGTCACCTGCTGATCAAGGGACCAATAATGAACTTTCTCCTGCGAGAAGATCAGATAAAGTGGGCCGTGTGGATGAGCCGCCCAGGTCTCAGAGTAACAGCCAGCTCTGATTCGGTGGTGGAAGAGGTTCATCCTTCACTTTGACAGCTTGACCTTTGAGGAAGTGGATTAGTCCTGTTTGTCAATTCTGGTCCAAATACTGACAAGCCGTTTGTCTGTTTGGAGTGTGATTTTTTTTTTTTTGTAGTCCTTTTTTTTTTTTTTAATGGTATTTAGTTTGGTAATTTTCTAAATTCTTTATCAACCAAGTCTCAAAGACAGAAAACAAAAAAAAAAAAGGCTTAGCAAGATCTTTAAATCTTTGATGTTGGCTAAATTTCTTTTTCCAAAGTGTGTTATGCCTTTAATTATGTAGATATTTATGTTTGTGTACAAAAATATGTAAAACTCAAGGACCAGCTTTTTCTCCCCTTACATTTTTGGGTTTTGTTTGGTTGGTTGGTTGGGGTTTTTTTTTTGCTTGTTTGTTTGTTTTTTGGCATTCAAATTGACCTCTGTCTTGGTAAGAAAATTGTTAATGTAGTAGTTTAGTATGTTAATTTTAATACAGAAACCTGTCAATTAAACATGGGAAAAGATAGTGATGTTTTAGAGAAAGAACAGTAGTTATAGAACAAAGTTAAAGTCTTTTGTTTATGGGGCTAGTAGTAGATGGCACTTAACAGCAACAACAACAACAATATATATTGCAAAGCCCTTGTCTTCCATTTTGGACTCCCATTGGCTTGGCTGCATGATGACACTCTTGTTTTGGTTGAGGGTCTGTGTAGGCTGTTTTGTTTATTTAAGCCTCGTGTTTCGAGTCAATAAGACCTCCAGGAGAACACTTGAATTTAAGGCCAAGGCCTTCATTTTGGAAACTGGGTGGAGCAACCAGACTCTGTAGGGTGGGCCATCTTGTTTTGGTTGAGGGTCACTGTGGAATATTTGGATGTTTTTGGGTTTTTTTTGATGTATCAAACACTAGAATGGTTACCCATGGTGGACAGTGTTTGGTAGAGCACCCCGATTAAAACGAGCATGGAGGCAGGATTGGCATCCCCTTCCGGAATAGCTTGCCTCTGGAAACCCTATGGACTTGGAGAAAGATGGCTGTTCTTTATGGATTACTAAAAAGTAAAATTTACCTTTTGATATGATGGTCATGGCATGCATAATATGCTAGTTTTTGAATCATGTGCCGTTATTTGGTCGTTCTTGGCATGAGAAGTATTGATATGTAGAATTTTTTACTACTCTCAATTCAGTTGCATTCAAGTGGTTAGTACATTTTACGTGGTCAGAATAATTGCAGCAACTTCAAAAGTAAAATATACCCATTTACAAATACAGAAGTAAGGACTCCAACGTGGCTTTTTGGGGATCACTTCTGTCCATGACAGGTGGAGAGGCAACGTCAAACCAGAGCGCTTGGGTGCTGTCTCCACTGAGTGCTTTTCAGGCAGTGCCCTGAATCCTTTCCTTAGCTGTTTCCTAAATGTCAGAACAAAACAGCTGTTTTAATCCTTGTTTTAGAGTGTTGCAAACAGTTCAGTAAGCCACTTTTACTCTGGGTCTAATAACCTCGACCTGGAAATTGTACTGCTGTGGTAAATACTTGGTGATACTCGTATTGTTTCTACCCAGTGTATTAGCTCTGCTGCTTGAGTCTTGCCTTTAGTGATGCTAATAGATTTTGCCACAATGAGACGGGAATATGATGTGAATTATTTTGCCCTTAAGACAGTGTTGTAACAGTTCTCTTTATTTCCTCTTTGTATATGATTTTATATTCTCCGGTAATGAAATTTTTATGTCTTCCCACCTTCTGCACTCAGTAGGAGGTTGATGTTCCTATAAAATCCAAGCCCCCCTTTTTTTATTATTACTGACATAAATTAGGTTTAATATTTACTAGAGTGGAAACTGTTCAGAAAACCCTTGCCGTTGATTGGTTGTGCTGTAGGTGGAAATGTCTGCCTGATCCATGTGATACCTTTTTATTCCAAAACACTCCCCTCCACGCTGACAGCTTCCCACACTCTGTTTTCAGATCATTGCAGTCCCACCAGCCCAGAGAGAAATGCTGGTCAGCCGTTAGTTACAGTGATGTTAGCACTTCAGGGAATTGAGCCATCCAGGAGCTGACTGGAAAACAATCTGAGGAAGGATTTAAGCTTAGCACTCAGTGGGCTTTCCTCTTTGATACCCCCTGGTCATTGAAGCAAGAAGCACCCCTCACGTGGGGAGGAGGAGAGTTGGCTTACACTGTTGCCTGGAAGGAGGCATCTTGAGTAGTCTTTTTAGGTACCTACACTGTTACTTATTATGGACACCTGCTTGATCCCCCCCCTTTATGTCAAGTATTTTATGATGAAGCACATTTCTACTTATTGCAGTTAACCAGAGAAGGAATACCTTAGAATACCTGCCTGGTTTGCCAAAAGGCCAGAATTGTTTTGAGAGCACATTAGCTTTTAGCAAGAGTTGATCTGCTTCCTACTCACTACTGTTTCTCTCTCTCCACCCCAACTCCTCTTGTGGGTCACCTTCCTCCACAGCTCTGCAGGAGGAAGAGGGGTAACCTCCTTGCTTGGAGTGCCCAGGCCTCAGACACCTAATGGAGGGTCAGCTATGAGGTGCTTTAAACTCAGCAGCTATAAGAGCGATGGAAAGAAATTGGTTCAAATTCATTGCCTTGGAGGAGATTCCAAGTCATGGTCATTCCTTGCATATAAGAATATAACTACACTCTCTCAAATTGTCAATGGCTAGTTTCTTGAAACTCAGTCATCAGACATTTTTTCCAAGGCAACTCTGTGGCACTTGAATTCACCTTAATATACTTGATTCAGTGACTGGGATAATTGGGATGGGAGTGTCAGAGACAGTGCGATTGGCACAGGACAGAGCGGAGTTTAGGGCTGTTGTACATAGGGTTGCTATGAGTCGCAGGCGACTCGACGGCACATAACAACACAACAACAACATACTTGGTCGTGAAGTGGTTTCCGTGGGTGAAGCTCGTGAAGGGAGCGTGAAGGTGATGACAGTTACATGTACCAGGGGCCTTGTTACATGCTGTTAATAAGTATGTTGTTTCATGCCGTCAAGCCAGAACCAACTCAGAGTTAACCCTCCAGTGGTTATTTTAAAGGTTTAATAACTATAAGCTCACTTAATTATGATATAAGCACTATTGGTCTACCCAGGTGTTTTCACTCTGCGATGCTATGTAACTTGTCCAAAGTTACCTTGTCTATGGACCTTGGATTTGAACTTGTTCTGATTCCACACTGCATGCCCTTAACACTGCAGTGAACATGATCGTCCATTTTTGAGCCCTCTATGTTTGAGCATAGAAGGGAAGATCCCAGCTAACAGTACTGGAAGTGGAAGCAGGAGGCTGGTCGAAGTGAAACATCATGATGTCTCTGTGTACTCAGGAAAGGTGATGGAGGTTACACGTATGAGGGTGTGGGTGGCGTGTATCTGATGGAGCAAAGAAAATTAGAGCTGTACAAGTAGATTCTTCCACTTAGGAAGCACTGATTCTGGGAATGGTGGGAGTTTTTTGTGAAGTAATGGGTAAATCCATCATGGTTATTTGTGTACTTAGGCGCTGTTAAATGACGTACGACTTACAGCCACCTGTGAACAACAGCTATGAATCCTGTCTTGTGCCATTCTTATCCTCTCCGACACTCTTGAACCCATTGCTGCAGTCACTGTCTCAGTCCATCGGCTGGAGGATCTTCCCCCTTTCACCAGCCCTCCACCTTTCTAAAAATGATGTTCCTTTCCAAGGACTAACTTAACAATATGCCCAAAGCAAGAGAGACAGAACTTTGTTGTTTTGGCCTCCAATGAACACTCTGGCTGCACTTTCTCGAAAATTAGATCAGAGCTTCTGGACTAAAATAGACTAGGAAGCAGAAATGGCCATCTACTTCTGAAATTGCTGGCCTCTGCAAACCTTATACACAATAGAGGAACAGTTAATCATTGGGGTTCTGATATAAGCTGTCATTGCCTTCCTCCTGAGGTTTAAAAAAGAGAAATATAACTTCTGTTATCCTCCTGATAATTGGATAATTGGAGTCAGTGGGTTTGAAGCATTTAGGCATGAGGCACGCAGCTGCTTGCTAGGAAAGACGAGTGTCTGCTGTAACAGCGGACGACCTCAATCTATATCCTGACCTTGGGGCCACTGATCTTGTCTTTCAGAGCTGTTGTTACTGTGTGTATCATCGAGTGAGAACCACCTCATAGCTGAGCCTCTAGCGAGTTTTCAGAGGCAGTAAATCACATGGGAGGAGATTGCCAGTCTTTTTCTTGTGGAGCAGATAGTGGGTTTGAACCTTGTGCCATTAGATTGACAGTTCAGCTTGGCCACCAGAACTCCCTTATTTCAGAGCAGTGGTCCTTAAAGGGTGGTCCAAAGCCAAGCAGTATCAGCATCCCTTGGGCACTGCTTGTAGTTAAGTGTTGTCAAGTCGTAGGCGGCTCATAGTGACACTATGAACAAAAGACCTGAACACTTGTATAACTTTCATCCTTTCTCCAGGTTCATAGGGTTTCCAGAGACAAGCCATTTCAGAAGTGGATGCCACTCCAGCTTCCAAGATTGTTTTAATCGGGGAGCTCCACTAAACACTGTCCACCATGGGTAACCATTCTCACATTTGACACATCAGTGTCACAGTGTTCAGCTTCACAGCAACCATGAGTTACTGCAAAACTCTCAGGCCATACTGTAGATCTATTGAATAAAAATTCTGGGTGTCCAGCATGTTGCTTACGAAGCCCTCTCCCTAAATGACTATTGCACACTCAAGTTTAAGAACGTCATTTGTCTCAGAGAGTTAGTTTTAGGTAGGGAGGCTTTTAGCTAGGGATGCTCCTGGAGAGCTGTAATCAGAAATAGGAAAAATGAAAGTAGTTACAAATCTTGAAGCACTGCACAAATAATTAGCATTAGAAAAGATCCATTGTATGCCCGCTTCACATGACTTATGTGTGACTTGAATATCTAGAGTGTAGACAAACTGAAAAAAATAGTTTTCCTCTGCTACCTATGTGCTGGAGGGCTGGTAATATCTCAA